CGGAGAACGTCAAACGAGGCCGAAGGAACTCTCGTCGAGGAACCTGCGATCGAGAGAGTCTTTTTTTGGTCCCCTTTTGGGGTTTTCCACCCCCGATTTAGGAGGTTGGTCAGCCAGGAGCTGCTGATCAAATGTATTGATTAACCAATCGTTGTCTGTGGGACCACCTATAACTTAACACAACGCCAAGGTGGAAAGACATCAGCAATGACATTTTAAAAAAAAGCAATTGATCCTGGGACTCAAAGGTGTTTCATGAAAGTTTCTTGACAGCAGGAACTTTTCTGTTTTAGACACTCGTCCAAAGACGGATGATCTGTGCCGTCATCGCTGTCCGTCCAACCGTAACCTTTCCCTTGTTCCGCCCGTATCTTCTGATCTGCTCAAGATAATTTAATGAAACGTGATGAACATTTGTACCTCCACTAGACGGAGCTCCGCGTAATGTTTTCATCACCCCAGCTCTAAGGTCAAGGTCACCGGTCACTTCGCTTGTTTGGGCCATTGCTACAGATGATCGCTGTGTAAGCGTTTGTGGATGGGCGTATAGGCCTGTCGCGATAAACAATAAATCAATTAATCGCATGTTAGACGAAAATTATCGACCTCATTTTCATTATCGGCTCTGTCTTCTTCTTTCTGAAGACACTGGATGTCAAAAGGTTCAACTCTGGTGCTCTTCACCGACTCCTCCCTTTCTCTATTCTCGTTAAAATCTGTTTTAACCGTCCTAAATCACGTTTTTTGTATCTTTAAAAGCAGCTAAGCTGAGAAGCTAAGCTACGAGCTAAGCTAGCAGCCCGACCGCGGGAATAAATCTATGTCTCGTCGAAGCTCCAAAATTCACAGTTGAAACCCGTGCCTTCGTGTAAAAAGTTGTTTTTCTCTGCAAAAAGAAGCTGAGAACTTGTTTACTGATTTTTTAATTAAAAGCTTTGCGTGAAAAATGCTAAAGAGCTCAAGCCACACCGAGCGTACGCCATTTTGAGAACCGAAGAGAGACAACCCATGTCACGTCAAGGGGCCTCTCTCCCAGCAGGGACACGCTGCTCACTCCCTCACTATCCATCCTTCGGTTCAAACAGTCTTATACTGCCATCCGGTGGTAAAAAAAAAGGTATTGCACACAAAAATTAACCAACATTTATCAAATTTCAAACAATATTATCGTTTATCGTAATAATTTCTGAGACAATTAATCGCCCAGCAAAATTTGTTATCGTGACAGGCCTATGGGCGTTTAAAGTGCCATGTGTTCCTTTTGTTGATGTTTTTAACTCCCTGAATTGTTTCTTTTTCAGTTTCATGAGCGGTTGTTGCTGATCACGAACCTTCCTGATGGCGGCTACTCGGAGGAGGACATTTCTTGTCTGCTTCACCCATTCGGGTTTAAATATTCATCCGTCAACCTCTACATTATTCCTCAAATAGGCATAGTAAGTTTTGAAATTGACTTCATTGATGCTGAGATTTATTCATGTGACTCTTTCTCTTAAACGATTTAAGCGCCAAAGCTGCCTGTCGTCATAAACCTGATGAATATTGTTTGTTTTGTCCGTTTCCTGTCAGGCGTACGCCAACATGCCGAGTACACAGGAGATGAAGGCTGTTCTCAAACAGACGTGGGACGGTGTCACGTTTAAAGGGCGTGAGCTCACTTTGAGGCCTTTCCAGCATCCCGTTTCAATGACACCGGTAAGCATTAAGAGCCCCAACGTAATAATAACTAGAGAAATCACATTTCCTGCGAAAATGCAGCGTGAAATCTTATTACAGAAGAACTTGCTGAGAAACAGCTGAAATAAGCTAAAAAAAACCTGCTGAAATGTAGCGGAAAAAAAGCCTAAATTGGCAGAAGAAAGCAGAAAGAAAATTTATTTGCTGAAATAGGTTTAAATAAGCAGAAATTAGCACAAAAATTATGAAAGTAGCTAAAAAAAAAATGTCTGAAAAGTAAGAAAGAAGCTTAAACTATGAGAAGGAAGCAGAAAGAGCTGAAATGAGCTAAAAACAAGTGGAATTGGCTGAAAAAGGTCAAATTAGCATAAAAACAGCTAAATAGTAGCAGAAATTGAAACTAGCATAATTAAGTTGAAAGGCGCATAACAAGCTGAAATTAGCATAAAGAAGTTAATTTGGCTGAAAGCAGCAGAAATTACCACAAAAAAATTGAATTTATTTGAAAACAGCTGAAATTAGCTGAAAAACGCTAAAAAAAAAAAAAAAATCTAG